TCGAAAGGCGTATGATCCGACACCGGCAGGACTGCGGATTTTACACACCGTTCCGCTACCTTGCGGGTCAGGCTTTTGCTAGCCGAAGGCTCCGGTTGTGGATTCTTCAAGAAAATTCACCTGCCTTGGCCTTGGAAACCTGGCAGTACTCAGCCCACAAGTCAATCATGGAACGCTTTTCTTTGTTATAAAGATTATTGTACCATGATTTGTTCCGCACACATTCTGTCCTCAGACAAGTGATATATATATATATATATATATATATATATAGTTTTCAATATTCGGAATTCCCATGTCTCACTACACGCACCATAGACAAAGTATGACTAGAGGTAAAGAGGAAAAACAAACATAATTGTGCAACTTTTATCTCGATAACGGGCAAAAGTACGCAGACGTAGAAAGCCACCTTGAGGATTTATACCTATCCATCAACGAGGGAGACAGTAGGCATCTGAAAACACTGTGTATCAGTCTGTGCAACGAAACTGCCTGCGCATGTGTTTGTGTATAGAACTCACCAGGATTGCGGTCATTGATATTTCGAATAGTTGACAATACCGCGTCCTCTAATCGGTTACCTCCATTCAGGAACTGAAAATCATTAGAACGAAACAGTGGCAGTGTAATAGCACACCGATGATGAACTTCACAAACGATGTTGTGGAAGAGCACGGAGCAATGAATGTGGTCATCGTTTAGGACAGCAAAGTCAACACGATAAGTCACACGCAAGAGAAAACGGATTGGTCAATAAACAAAGATAATCGAACGCAGAGTAAAGAGAGATCTCTATTCTCTAGCGATGAATAGGGATGGCAGGTTCTTTTGGCGAGCACTATTTGTATGCGGAAAACAACTCTGGACTGAATGATGATTTTTCGATAATCGGGGTTGTTGTATCATCAACGGAATTCGCAGTGCTAGTTATGAAACCGTGCGCGGTTTGTTTTCTTCAAATTGATGAGCTACCCTTGACCTGATTCCGAAAGGGTAGGATTCACAAAAAGTGGTTTTCTCAGTAACAGGCCTTATGACCTCGTAAAGACAAGAAGCAGCGGTTATTCGGTCCATTAAAGAATCCACTTATCAATGCTAATTTATTCGCAAAGCACACTTTTCATTACGCAGTCCCGCGAAATGCTTTGAAACCGCACAGACTGGAATTTCGACTAGTAACAACTTGACCTCACCTTACCGACAACAAGGTTCTTTGTTCCGAAATCAGGATATCATTCCACGCTGCTGGAAGATTTTTGGAATATTGCCACCACGCAGTCAGTGCTTGGTTGACTAGTTCTTTATCCGATCCGGTCAATCTGGTGTTCTGTTTAGCAAAATCGATTCATACAATCCGTTAAAACCATTCAGGCCCACCAAATGAAGCCGTACTGGCTGACGGTATTTCAGGATCCTATGTCGGCTGCACATCTCGTCATCTTTCCGGTATAGCTTTGATAAAACTTACACGGTTGTTGACAAAATGGCAACTTATTCTTGTTTGAGGATTTCAACATCGTGGTCAGAATAAAGCTAGTCAAAACAGGAATGTGTGTCTAAATGAATCACATCAACCGGATGATGCATAATGTTATCTTGCCCAAAATAACGTTGATCAAGTATACCTGCTACCGATTAAACACGCATGCAGACTTATTCTATGATAATACTGATCTGCTCCAGCCAACCAGATTCCCGTATTGAACAGCTTGTTGTGATTGATTCCTTGCCTGCCAAGTTGCCCAACTCTATCGCTCCCAGACTGCAGGTATTTGCTTTCAGTGGCTGTTGGCCTGCCTATCTAATTGCTTAAGTACTCGTCAAAGAATGTGCCTGTGTATTTAATAATTTGATTGTTGATACACAAAGTTATTTGCTCATTACGTTTTCCAGCGCTTGCAAAACAACATTTTGGGGTCACCAGCACAGAACCTATGAATGGCTATGAATTGTCTACGTACTCCTGAACAGTTTTCTGTCAGAAACTTCTACTGAAGCATGGAATACGTGGTAAACATTCTCCCTAACATCGGTCATAACTGGGGGTCCCAAAGTCAAACTCCTGCGGGATCATTTGGGTTATGGAGGTCGGCGGCAAACAAAATCCGAAAATAATTAAAAAAATCTACAGGAGGTCTTTCGTATTTTGAACAAATACAGGGACGTTCGTCCTTATACATTTGTTTTTCTATACAAATTTTCCCTGCCGAAGCAAGCTCCAGGCGAAGACTATGGTACGTTCATTTTCTGGCATTGTGTTCATTACTTTTCTGTGATTACAGTTCCGTGTCCGTAAAAAATGCCTGGAAACACTGTTCATCCGGAATGATCGATCATGACAAACATGACACTATTCATGCTAAAGGTGACTTAAAACGGTGATCATAAATCTTCCGTTATACTGATGTACTGTGACTGCACTGCTCCCAATTCTTTCCTCACCCAACAAGCGAAAATTCTGCTCGCACCACCGCTACGTGTAAGACCAGCTGCGACTTCTAGAACGTATCGGTTCCCAAATGGTGCCAAGGTGAATGCGCGAGTTGTGCCCATTTGATCATGTGCACACAATGAACAGGAACCATTGTGTTGCCACACTAATCGACAAAGCTTACATTCTTCTTCAAGTATGAGTCAGCGCTTGCTGAACCGGGTGCGTGCCTTTCAGATTTATTATGAAGAAGAGAGGTGATATTGTGGACGACCGTCGAAAGAAAGCTCAATTCACATGATCATCACCTTACTGATTGACTGGCCGATGCCGCTTATTCCCATCCAGGAACGCATATCACAAACTAACTGATTCACCTCAGCCAATCACATCGGTGTCGAACTGTCCACATCGATTGATTCGTTGAATCAACGGGCTCAGCCGTACTTTGATTTCATGTAACGCTTACCCATTCAGTTTCATGAACTGCCTGCGTGTTGACACCTTTGCTTGCTCCGTGGTCTACAGACGAGCTACGAGTTGCAACTAACCGGATTACCTAATTCATTGCTCAATTATTCACTCACCTAAACGGAGCTTGATCTCAGGTGGTGGTGTTGGGGAGGAGATCACATCATGAATAGCGAAAACTAGAGCAGCTTATACCAACATTTGACAGCTGTGGCGCCGCCATGACATCCGACTGTCTCTTAAGAGAGCGTTATACATTGCAGCGGTTCGCAGTGTTCTGCTTCACGGTTGCGAGGGCCTCAGCATGGTTGAGGATGGGTGTCTCGGGTTGCGGCTGGTCACCCTCCCTTGCTCCTTGCGAAATACTGCCATACGACCAAGCGNTGCTGAGGAAGCTCTGTTCACTGCGTTCAAGTGGCAAACGTGTTTTCCTACCAAAAGTGAGAGGGCGAAAAGCCAATATTCGAGGCTATAAGCGGGTGGCTCACCTAAGGGAGTTGGATAAAACCCTGATCCCAAATCAACCAAGAAGAGGCGTACGAACCACGCGGTGGTCACCAGTGCATAAGTAAAGAGAATGCGTGACGATTATGCCTAGTACTAACATGAAGTAGGAATGTAATTTCCGGTGGAAAAAATAAGAACCGGAGGGTGGTAATTTGGTAAGATGCAGCTGGAGGTGAATCGGGACCAAAAAATGTCAGCTTTTATNNGCATAATCAACAAAGGAATTACAGACAGAAGGGAGAAAATTACGGAATATTGCTTTGGCAACCGAACAATACGTCCGGAACGTACTAACGCAAACAAGGACACAACCATTACATAAGTTGGATAACTACTCTTGCATCTGTATGCCTCTTAGATTCTTCTACATTCCAAGTTTGCGATCGTAATTTATGTATTTTATTGAAGATGGAATTGTGTTTACCCACAATCACGTCTTTCCAATAGTAAAAGTTTTGCATTTTCAAGCAAATAAACACCCAAAACTCTCTCCCAGATCTGAGACTTTAGTGGTCTCAGTCATCGCATAAATAAATTGAACTACAGACTCGTCACCGCAAAACATGTGAGTGGTAAGCACATTTACAGCCAACCTACCCAATGAGTCGTTGAACGGTTTACCGCAGCGATTGATCACACCTATGTAGTCGACTCACCCATTCAAACTCTTCACCGAAAACAATGTTCTTCCGTGTAATAAGAAACATATTATAGCTTTTGTTTTCACACCGTGGACATTCAGTAGTTTAAAGAGTGGACAAATTGTGGCCGGGACGTTGAGTAGTGATATTAAAACATCCAGAAGGACAGTGCAATATTTGATTCGGAATACGAACACATTCGGGTATTTAAAAATCAACAACTTATGAGAACAGACTATAGCTGAATGTAGTCGAAAAGCGGCTTCGACCAATGATAGGAGAAGTGAGTTTTCTCATCTACAAGGGCCATCTTGAGTCGATAAATTGGAATATGATGGAGTTCATTTATTACTGTGTTTCTTCTGAACAGATCTGCTGCGAACGCGTGAAAAAAACACTTATGATTGTCTACACATCCATGGACTGAGAATGTGCACCTTTCTTGGATTGTGCTTTGAGTTGGGGCCCAATTGCATGCTAGTCAATTAAAGATGAATGCATAGGCCTTCATAGGTCCTAATGAGCGCAAAAAACTAAGGTGAACCGTGTACATGAAAATGCCTGGCGAAGAGAGAAAGATATCGCTAAAAGCACTATTTCGGGGACTTCGGATTTGGCATTTACGTGGAAAACAAGTGGAGGAAATCGGTCTAAACCACAGAAAATAGTCTGCCTACACCGTGTTCATCCGATGTGAAAGGAAAGGATCGAGACTTTCTCAGAATCAAGTGAATGACAACAAATTACTTGAATAGAACACAAAAATAAACAGAATACCACATACGATTGCACCAGTAACGGTGGAGAATGAGGGTGATAACTTTATCGAGCATCCGTTGCGCCGAATAGTAAATCAGTAACCGAAACAGAAAACAAACAGCTGGTTTTCGGCCACACTTACGCGATAAGCCACATGACCGCCGATCGGTTCACTGGATGGATAGACCCAACCCTCAGCAGATAAATGTTTTACCAATTCATCAACCAAAATTCTTATATCTTTGCCGCCATCTGTACCGCCGGACGGCCAGTCTACGAAGAGCTCGGACGGATCGAAAACCTACGAAACCAAGGGAAAAGAATTAGAGAATTTTTGTAACCTTGCGATTTGTTGGGTGCAAATGAACGAGCTAATGAGATTATCAAGATCACTGGGGACTTTGACAAGGAGTTTTAAAGATTTTAATTTGAAATACAAAAAAACAGTAGTTGTATTTAGCGGATATGCACACAGATCCACTTACCACAGGGGTCGAATTAGCCGTCAATCTATCGGCTAATCGACTGTTGAGACAAAGATCCACTTTGGTGAATGTGTACAGTGCATCTTCTTCGATAATGCGACACGCTTCAGCAACTGTCAGTTGAGCACCGCTAGACTATAATGGTGGGGCAAAATAACATACATAGGAAAAGAAGACGTAAAATGAAAGCGAGATGAAAATTTATTCGCAATAATGGGTGCAATGGAAGTTGGACGGCTTTGTTCCACACTAACATTTTGAACACAATAGCGGACTTCAAACTTTTATGACTGAAACAAAGCAGCCGCTTCTATGGTAAATTATGAAGAATTTTGCAGTTACCTATTTCCCGATTAACAAGGAGGATATTCCATGAAATTTGGTGGGGCATTTGATTCTATCATATAGTGAATTTTTTGCACAAAGAGTAAACGAATGTGAACTGAAAAAGCTAAGAAGCACCGTATAGCTGTTTTGATCTGGTTAGGTTTCACATTGATTCAACTGAGGAACTCGCGGGTAGAACTCAAGCACACGACCCGTTTGATTATCCAGCAATTGATCAAACCGCTTTATGTTTATCCGATAAAACACAATCCATTATTCAAGCTTGTTGCGAACACAAGACCTTGCTCGTCCCACCAGTGGCATCCAGGGTTGTCTTGGCTGGAAACTTTCCGAACCCAACTGTTTGTTACATGAGAGTAGATTCAATTTGATTGTACAGTGCATCTAAATAAAATTTAAATCAATTGTATTTTTACGTAGTATCAATGAGTGTGAAAAACGAAAACCACAAGGGTTTCACACGTCTTATCATTTCAAGCTCTCAAGGTATTCCTTTTTAGATTTTGAAATCAAACACAGGTTTGCAATGTTTATCTCTTACACTCTGTACCTGAAGGAGATGTATGACGACGTCATTGGTTGCAAAAATGTCGGCTTCTTTAAAAGAAAAAAATTTTCTACACAAGGTTTTGAACGAAAAATAAACGGAACCGGACGCAAATTATTGGTATTGTTTTGTCATACACCATTGTTTTTGTTATTCTTTGACTAGATAATCAGTGGGCCGATTATTGGAATGCGACACTATAGACAAACACGATTCATGTCCCGGACCACAGGAACACAGTGCAGGGGATAGCAGATCTGCTGGGGCACTTCCGGCTTGTATTTGTATAACTTGGGTAAGCTCATATGCTTATATTTCAGTAACAGCGTACACTGGTCGTCTCGCGAAATAAATTGTACAGTTTCGTATAACATGCCAAGGAAAGCATGACGCCGAAGTCTATTTCATGTATAAAAATTCTGGCGTAATTCACTTACCACCAGTTCCTTTTTGCTTAGGAGTCAGGCCAAGCAGAATACAAGGGGTAGATGCCGAAGAGGAGCGTATGGACGGATGGGAACGACAAGATAATAGACAGAAACGCAGTGGATGAAGAGTGTCGTCTAGAATCTTATTGGTAAATTTAACACAAAAGCTGTTGTGACCATTGGGATTAATGATACACGACTGATTAGCATCAAACCACGATGAATGCTGGCGAAGTCCTGTTTTAAAAGGCCGAGAAACACGACCGGGGAGTAATCGAGTAGAATGGGTAAAACGCGTTGTTAAAAGAAAGAGGACACGACTGACTGCGGGGTAAGGAATAGCCTGAGTTTGTTTAACTGAAAGGAGAGGCGTCTCGGTGTTCCTATACAAATGAAAATGTGTGTGGACCACTAACGGTAACTGTCGATGGTAACACCCAGGCACTTGACTGAGGTCATTCTGGACATAGGTTTGCAGTTAAAGGTGGCACAGTCCGTTGGAAATGAGGAGAGGGAAAGATTGAAGATACACTTTACGCACTTAGATGTGTTAAGACTGAGATCAGATTGATTGGAAAACTGTTAGACGTGGGATAGGTTTTCAGTGAAAGAATCGTATTCCGGAGATGAAACTCTCTGACACAAAGGGATTTAGTCAGCAAACCTTTGGATGTGTGCAACGGGTGGGACCGGAAGATCACTAATAAAAGCAGAAAAAATATACGAAGATAGAACAGCA